CAATAGCAAAAAAGGTGTGTTTGTCATTATCTTCTAAATCTTATATTTTATGGAGAGGGAGACGAACACCGAGTTTATAATTTTAAAGAGTTATATAACGAGATCATGTTCATACTCGTGGAAAAAGTTATTTGTTTATCGATACAAATTTTTTCGATTAAGCTGAAAAGTTTCGAGTAACACTTAGGATATTGACGATCAAACACATAATGTATTGCAATAATTAAAACTAACACGTAATGCAAACCGAATAATTTGGTTACTCTATATAACAAATGCCCCTCAAATAAAATATGTATATCTTCTCCAACAAATTTTGCATATGGCGTCAAATGTTGTGGATCAGGGGCAGTTTCCTAAATAGAAGAAAAAAACTCATACTGCCCATTGTTGAAAAGTTTACTACATGTATACACACTGCAATAAATAAATCAATCTCATTCAGATTCTGTATTAATTTGCCAATACCATTCATATCTGACTCTGTTTGCTAAAAAAAACACAATGCATACGCCGAGTTTAAGTAACAAAAAGAGTGCACCTACATTGCGCCCTAAAGGAACTTGAAAATACGTATTGACTTTATTTAGAAAAGCACGTATATCAGTTGTTATTTGATCTGTTGTTCGTGTTTTGATCAGTTGACCAAAATCATACAATAACTAGAGCAAGAAAAACTGTGATATATACTAGAAATTCTTCCCTGCTGTCAAATAATACGTACCGTCAATTCGTATTTCAGTTCAGGAATCAAACTGATCATTTCATTTATTGGTTTCTCACTAAGATCATGAAGTATTAACTGTTTACGATAAGAATATGTGTCACGTAACATGACGTTAACATGTGACGTGTTTGAGTTTTTTTTCCTCAGTTCCGTGAGGATTTTTTTCCGTAATGTTTCATATTCTAGCATAAGAGCAAGATAAATAAGTACTACCACTGACGTCAAATAGCATACCTATTTTAGAAAGCAGTTTTGACTGCCATACTTCAACTTTTCCATCGATTGTACCTAAAAGTAAAAGTTTTTCAAATTATCGCTTGAACTACTTGAAACTACTTGAAGCTGCACTTGGTGGTGTTTGTGGTGACATAAGAAACGGCTTAGCTGAAGTCCTACGCATCGGTGTTGTCGGTAAGTATAATAACGGTGAGTTAAGATCCATTTGTCTCGTGCACCTTGCACTTGTTGCTAGTGTTGGTGAAGCACTTGAGGAAACATGTGTCGGTGTCACTGGTAATGGTGCATGTAGGGTAATTAAAAATAAAATAAATAGAAGGCCGTTATACATAAGCATCGTAACCTCAGACCTGATAATTCATCAGGATCATCGTTCTCCAATTTGTCATTGTTAATTTTACGTTTATTTCGTTGTCGTCGTTGTCCATTAAAAGCTAGTTTTTCATCTGCACTTTTGTTTCTCCATCGAATAGACAATGCATGAGTTACTAATCTCTAAAACCAAAAGAAAAAAACATTTTTTGCGTGTAAACGATTTTCAGCCTGTTATCTAGGATACATGATAAATGAAAATATGTTTTGTTTTCGAGGGAGGTAATGGTTTTATGCAGAAAAACCACTTCTAGTGTCTCCTGTCGACTAAAACATTCCAAGGAACATAGTTTATGTAACGTATTGGGAAGAATATGACACCTAGACGATTGTATCGGAATGGAAAAGTAAATATAGATGAACTGTGAATGAATTAAGAATATTTTGATACCCATGGGGTGGAATATGACGTTGTAGCTAGTTTTGAATATAATGTTATCAAAGTAATACCAATATTTTTATAACTATTCTGATTACGATAACCTTTATCTTTATATAAAGTTGAATAATGCTGATGAGCTTCATGTATGAATGCTCGAAACATTGCATCTTTCGGATCGACTGCTTGTCTGTCTAAACAGCAACAAAAGAGCGAAACACTTTCATAAAAGTTTATTTATTGTGCTGCGACCTGTCAAATAATTAATAACACCATCAGAAAAACTAGGTGGAGGAGCTGAAAGAGGCACTTTCTAAAATAAAACTAGAATTGGGTCACTTAAACGGTATACGATAGAGACAGTGCATATTTCATACCTTTTCGGTGACGTAATTTGAAGAATAATCGTCACCAAACATTTCGCTTGAAACATCGCTAGCCACCAAGTTTCTTTGCTCTTTTGTATTTCCTGTTAAATCATTATGAGGAATTGATAACGCTAAACAATTGACCGTTGGATTTGACGAGTATAGATGATGAAAATCATATTGTTGCGCTTCTGGCGATTGAAATGCTAATACAGACTGATTAAGACCGTCTTGGTTGCTATTAGGATGACATGAACCATATTGTTGATATTGATTACTAATATCCGTGATGGCATAACAGTTTGATTGAGTATCTGACATAATTGATGATGATATACTTGGTAGTATCTGTGGTTGAATAATTTCAATCTTATCCTCATCATGCAATTCCGTTGTCTCAGCTACTTCGACGTATTCTTCAAATTTTTTTTTATATAGAAGCAATCTACATGTTTCCGACACTTGTAAATCAGTTAACGACGAAATATAACTTCTAGCTTCTGCGATTGAAGAACCAATTGGAATTTGTATAGGACATTTTCTGGGTCCGCTAATAACTAATATATCCATTTTAATTCCTCTAAAAGAAGAAAACATATTTAAAGTAAGATATTCGAGCACTAAGTTCCAGCCCACTCTCATAAAATAGTATAGGGGAGATAGGTAAACAAATGCATACGCGTTCAGAAGAGGTTTATTTTTCATTTTCGTTTAACTTCTCTCACTGTAAAGTATTCACAGAAGGACAGTGATGTTAACAGAGAAAATTAAAACCAACAGAAAATCAATCGAAATCATTAACAAAACGAGCAGCCGTATGGTTTCATAGCTATATACATTTCACCTAAGAAAGCGTACAAATTTAATACACGTCGAAATAGTAGAGTTTCTGGTATTATTAACCGATAATCGGTAGTTCTTTCTACACAAAATGAGCGTAACTGTTTACTGAATCGCACAGTTCTAAACACTTCAGCAAAAAAAAATATTTTTTCTGCGTTGTCCATAACAAGAAGTCTTATCTGTGCAAAAAGTGGTGTCACTTTTGGTAATTTATCAGAAATTACGATAATATCATCTTTTCTATATTGAATTTCATGCACGTAGACTATTTCCAGTTCAT